CAATATCTGTGTCAGGTTTTGGATTCAAACTTATGCTAGCCTTGTAACACAAGTTAAGATGTGTTCCATCTTTTCCTATTCTCTGGAAGAGGGTTTGTATGTTTATTTGTTTTAACACTGGTGTTATTTGGTTTTTAAACATTTGAACATAAACGAAGTCATCTAGCCTAGTATTTTCTTTGTAGGATGGTTTTTAATTGTGGACTCGGTTTCTTTAATAGATATGTAAGTATTCAGATTTTCTATTTCTTCTTATGTCAGTTCTGGTAAGTCATGTTTTTCAATGAATTTGTCCATTTTATCCAAATTTTCAACTTTAGATAGTTTGTATAATAGAGTCCTGAATACTCCAGAGGACTTTTCATCCTCAATATTGGGGATTTGTGTTTTCTTTCTATTTTTTCTTAATCATTCTTCTTAGAAGTCATCAATGTTATATATTTTGAAGAACCATATTTTTGCTTTGTTAATTTTCCATTTTATTTCTGTTTTGTTTTTATCGTCTCTCATAATCTGTTCTTATCTTGATTATTTTCTTCCTTTTAGATTCTTAGGTTCATTGCTGGTTCTTTTTCTAGCTTCTTAAAGTAGATCTTATGACATTGATTCTCAACTTTTCTTTTGCACAGTGTCTACACTGAAAGCTCTAAATTTCCCTCAAGTCACTACTTTAGCTACACTCTAGTTATGTTGTTATGACATATTCTTATCCCATCTGCTTCAATTTACTTTTATTGGTTTTCAGAAAAGTATTACATAATTTCTAACGATTTTGAGATTTTCTAGTTATATTTTATATTGTTGATTTTCAGCTTAATCTCACTATTGTCAGAAGACATACTATGTATGACTTCAGTTGTTTCCTTATGGTTTGGCATAGCACCAATTTAGTAAATATTCAACGTGCTCCAGAAAAGGATGTATTTTCTCTGGTTGTTCTCAGCTTGTTGGCAGTCAGGGGACTTGGAAACTCTTCACTCAGAATGATAAGCATTTCAGGAGCTCTGTGTCAGGAAGTGGAATCAAAGACCAAATATTGGTGGGAATGAGGGACAGAGACCAAATTATATATTTCTTATTATTTCACACTATCCTACATTAAATAGTTGATTATCTTTTAAAGAAGTTAAAAACCAAAAGGGAAATTATTTTATATTACTCCTTCTGGAGCTCTTCATTCCATGTGTTATATTCCTTCTGCTTTAGAACTTCTTTTGACATTTTTCTTATGTATGTCTGCTAAGAACAAATTATCCTAAAGGCTTAATTTTTTCCCTCATTTTAAATGAATCATTCACTGGACATAGAATTATAATCTGACAGACTTTTCCTTTAGCATTTTATTTTATTTTTTTTAAAAGATTTTATTTATTTATTAGACAGAGATCACATGTAGGCAGAGAGGCAGGCAGAGAGAGAGAGAGAGAGAGAGAGAGAGAGGAGGAAGCAGGCTCTCTACTGAGCAGAGAGCCTGATGCAGGGCTTGATCCCAGGACCCTGAGATCATGACCTGAGCCGAAGGCAGAGGCTTTAACCCACTGAGCTACCCAGGTGCCCCTCTTTTAGCATTTTAATGATGTTTCATTATCCCTTGGCTTATTTAGGTTCTGATGAGATGTCTATATGCACATTCTTATCTTTGTTTCTCTGTATGTAATATATCATTTTTCTTTGTCTGGTTTTAAGATTTTATTTCTCTGTCTGGTTTATTATCATGAGCCTTGCTATGATTTTCCTTATGTTTACCCTGTTTGTGGTTTATTGAGCTTCTTGGAACTGTGAATTTACGATTTTCATTAAATCTGTGTGATTTTCAACAATATTACATCAATGACTTTTTCTATCTCCTGCTATCCTTCTGGCACTCCAATCTTATGTATTTTAGACCACCTCATGTTATCCCACAGATCACTGAAGTTCTGTTCAGTTTTTCAGTCTTTTTTCCCCCTCTATGTTTCATTTTGGATTATCTCTATTGCTGTTATTTAATTTCACAGCCTATTTTTCTCTCTAATGTTTAATCTACTATTAAGCTGACCCAGTGAAGTTTTCATTTCAGATTTTGTATTTTCCATATTTATATGTTCCATTTGGTTCTTTTTCTATATTTTTTACCTGCTCATTCTGTTCATACTGTCTTTTTACGTTTTTGAGCACATTTATAATAGTTATTTTCAAATCCTTGTCTGCTAATTTCATTATCTCTGGGTCTGCTTTTATTAACTGATTTTTCTCTTGATGATGAGTTTATTGTCCTGCTCTTTTGCATATCTAGTAGTTGCTTTCTGGCTGCTAGGTTTGGTGACTATTACATTGTAGGGTGTCTAGACTTTGTTTCTTCATTTAAAGAATGTTATGTAAACAGTAAAAATGTTTGTCAGACAGTAGGGTAATTTGAAGATCAAGTTGTTTCTTTCAAGGTTGTTTTTAAACTTATTTGGGGCAGTTTATAATAACCTTTACCCTAGGGCTACTTTATCCTTATTAGTAAAGTATGACTCTTCTGTGGCCTCTATTCTAATGCCTGCAAAGTTTGTTCTACCCTAGCTGGGTGGAACTTGAGGATTTCTCAATCCTCTGAAAAGCTTTAGAGGTTATTTAGCCTCTAACTTCCCAACAGTAATAGGCCCAGCATCATGTAGTTACACTCTATGCATCTAAACTTTACTATTAAGCAATAGACTCAAGGGGACTTCTGTGCTTATTCCTGACGTGCTTTTTCTGCATAGCTCTCTCCTCTACCCCCTCCCCCAACATTCCAGCTGCCTCCACTCACCCAAACCCTGATCTCTGTCTTTTCAACTCAGTGAACCTGGTACATTGTTTAGGTTCCTCCTATCTACACTGTGGCCTGGAAAGTGTCTCTAGAGAGGAAGCTAGTGTGATTATAGGACTTCATTTGGTTCTCTTCTTACCTTTATCACAGTTCTGCACTGCCTGTTGTCTAATCTCTGGGAACAGCTGCATGGTATATTTTGTCCTGATTTCTAGTGCTTTGCGGTGGGAGATCAATCCCAGAATCAGTCACTCCATCATAGCCAGAGTGAAACAATGCTGCCAAGTCTTTTTTAACCTTGCAACTGAAAAGTAAATTTCTGGAATCGATGGTTCTGTGATGGAAAAGAGTAAACCGGGGAGAGATTCAGAGGTAACTATATATAATGTTGGCCAGAAGTTTAAGAAATGCAGTATATTTGGAAATATTTTCTTCTCAATTTCAAAATAAGATTCAGTGGAACCATTATATTCATATCTGGAAGTTTCTACTTTAGGTCACTATACTTCTCTGTACAATGAAGGCTAATTAGGCAGTGTTGCTAATGTTACAGTATTGTTGATTTGGGTCAATGAACAATGAGGCAGTTGCTACTGCTACTGTTGATGACGACAAGATTTATTTACACCTCTTCAATGAACCAGGCACTGTGTTAGGCTCTTTCCATCGATTACCTTTATTCTTTTACTATAGTACTGCAAGTCAGAAGTTGTGAGCTCCAAAAACTCAGGAAATTGAAGTCAGCTCCTCAAGCTCACACACTAAGAAGTGAACACTCTGTGACTACATTACTCCATAGTAACCCAGTAGCTGGAGTTGGAGGACAATCTGAGCTCACCACCAGCGGTGCCCCCTTCCACTACTATGCTGCCCTCTGATGCTCTCTTCACCTGAGCTTCCCCATCTGGCAAATTGTAGTGGAAAACAGTTAACTCCTTCCCTGGGGAGGCTGTGCTTGTATATAGATGTTTTGCATTATTTTGCTTTGAATAACAGCATATGTAAATGTGCTCCCAGAGGTTAAAATTACCCTTCTTTTTTAAAACTTGGCCTCTCCCACTGGGGTAAATAGTTGAAAATTATGGGGAGGAAAAGGCAGACTGGAGAGAATGTGAGTCACATGGAATTGCTTCTCCTTCTCCCTCTCTGCCCAGCACTTATTTCTATTTGAATATAAGCTGTCACGGCAGAGTGAAGATTTGTACATTTCCTTTCGTGGCTTCCTCCCGCGTTGTGACAGTCAGTATCCAGTGCTCCAGTTCATCGAGACATCATTCATTAACTCTGCATCAGGAGGAAGTCCAGGGACAGATGTCCTTGCTGAAAAGAATAAAAGCCTCCTGTGGCACCTGGAGGACTTTACCACACACGGTCTCCAGCCAGATCACAAAGAGATTCTAGCGAACCCGGGCCCTTTGCCGCCTCTAACCATCTACCTCTTGTTCTGAGGTTGGCCGAGCTCCTGGACTCCAGCTCTCCCCTGGGTCCTGCATTGTCGAGCCCTCCCTATCTTCAACTGCCTTTCCTGGCATTTGAATCATCACTTCAATGATGTGATAATATCTGCAAGTTGGGAAAATAAAAGTGGCATTTGTTTAGCCATAATTAATGAAATATTTATGTTGCATGAGACTATGTGATAAAACCTCAGGCTTAGCGTCCTTTTGCTTCTGATTACATTTGGGATTTTTTTTTTTCTATGACCAGACATTCTGACGCCAGCTCTTTTACACTGAGCAGATGTCATGTAGTAAAAATGGGTGCCAGATGCTGTGAGCCACAGAAGGGCGATTTGTTTAAGAGCTGGCTCGGACTTTTTTGCATTCAATTACTCTGCAGAACGAACCTTACCCGAGCATTTAGGTAACTCAGCTAACTTCAGACAAGCGTTTTAATAATAGATTTCATCGCCAAATGCGTTCTAAGCAACACACCATATAAATGGTATTTAAGGAATTAATTGATTTCTGCATAATACCTTTTTTTTTTTAATATGAAAGGAGAGCTGCAAAGCTCTTGGCAGGGACCCAGAAATGTAATTAACATGGAGGGCCAAATTTTCAGTTGCCCTCAGGTACTGCTTCCTCCTGCTCATGACAGGTGCAGTGAGGGAAGAGCAGGGAGGAAGGGAATGATGGTAAGAAGGGAGAGGGAGAAGGAGCTTTGGGGCACAAGGTAGGAAAAGAATCTGGGATTTCAGTGAGTTCTTCTCTTCCCATTTCAGGTTCCAAACACATCCCTAGCCGAGGGCAGGTGACAGGGGCCGCCTCTTCTACTTCCTCCAGCAACTCCTCCTCTGCAGATGAAGGGTTTCATCCCCAGCCTTCCTTGCGGTCAAAGGTAACAACACCTGGTTAACCAAAGAAGGCCTTGGCTTGTGGGGGCCATTTACCCTCCAGGTTTCAGACCTGTGGTGGACTCCGGCTGCAGTGGTTTCATTAGGATCACGTTTCACCGCATCTGACAACAACCGCTTTTTACCTGGAACACCAAGAATGATCTTTTCTTTTCTTTTCTTTTTTTTTAAACTTTTAGAAGCTTGCCTTTTCAGAAACTTCAACCGGCAGAAAACAACAACAACAACAACAACAACAAACTAGACATATTTACTTAAAATCATTTGGTGACTGCAGCTCTTAAAGTGAGTTTAATATGTGGTCCAACAAGCAAACCATCGAAAAAAAATTACAACAAGCAGATGCATATTTCCCTGGGGGAAACACAGCTTCATTTAAGAAGCACTAGAGGCAGATTGCATGGAAAATGTTATGTTTATTCTAATCAGAACTATGAAATGAACCATGCAGTTGCTTCCAGACGTGGGTACTCCAAGGGTCCCCGCTGTGGAAGGGTCTAGCTGCGTGCTGGCTAGGGAGATGGCTGTCCTCTTGGCTTCATGACCGTATTTCTGGAAAACACTTTAAGCAACTTCCATACCCACAGATTTTAAAAACACAAACATTGTTATGTGTCTTTAAAGGCATCTGTGTGTCACAGACATGAAGACACATCCCATGACCAACCTCGCTGTTGTTTTCTTGGTCCACTGGGGCCGGGGCATTTTCACTGGGACTGAGGGATGAATGGTTGGACCTAAAATGCTTCCCAGGAGAACAGAGGAGCAGTTCACTGTGCTAACAGTGTTTATTTTTTGGAGCAGAGAGGATCTGAGGAGAAGGGGAGAGAACCAAATTTATTTACTTAGACTCAACTTTTCCATATCTGGCATTAGGAAATTCTGGCGTCATCTCAAGTCACTCAGGGGTTCCAGCTCCCCACGGCCCAGCTTAGAGCAAGTCAGGAGGGGGCTGGGACATGGCATGAGAGAGAGAGAGAGAGAGGGAGAGAGAGAGAGTGTGTGTGTGTGTGTGTGTGTGTGTGGTGGGGGAGAGGGAGAGACTGGGTAAGATGGAGGGAGGGAGGGAGGGAATGCAAATGAAAAAGAATATATATGCATTTTTCATTTCTAACCGTGGACACCTCTGATTAGTTCAGTACTCAACACAAATGAATTTGGTGTGTTATGTTGATTCCTGGGGTTTCTTTCCTATCCCTCTCATCCCTTTCAGTGACCTTGAGTTAAGTCTTTATTCAAATGAACACAGGCATTCATCAGTCATGCCAACAGCCATTCCAACACTCGAGGAGAAGAAGAGAATGGAATAGCCCAAACACATCAAATAGCAAGACTGTGAGATCTAGGGCAAGCCTTGCAAGTAGCTCCTTGTCCTCCTGCTGGCCCAGAACAGAGCCTGTCAGCACTTAAACTTGCAGCGTGGAAAAGCTTGCCTGCTTCACCTGGCGTCTGACCACTCTTACAGGAAGGGAAGCCGGCCAAAAGTTATTTCTTTACTACTTCCCAAGGGCCCACCCTGAAGGAACAGGGGTTTTCTCCTCTCTTTACAGGTGTGTCTCCAGCCCCTTGGCACAGAACTCACATCAGCTCCAATGAACCTTTGCTTGGGAAGCTGGAGACAGGATGTGAACACTCCACCCCTTCCCTTTGCTTTGGTCCTCCCCACCCTCTCCCCTCCCAAAGCCAGGCGTGGACCTGGGAAACTGGGGCAGGCACTTGTCCTGGGTCCTGCCAGATCTCTCCCTTTCTCTGTCCTTTGTCTTTTTCCTTGTCGCCCTGAGCCTCTCTCCTGGCCTCTCTCTGCTGTCATTGCCACTCTTGAGGATGTAAGGACCGTGCCCAGCTCATCATGAGACTAGATGAGCATTTGTGAACAAATCATCCTTCTTTTCTACATCAACATCTTTTAATAAAAGGCAATAGTGGCTTTCTTTCCTCCTCTAGATTCTGGTTTGCTAACTCTTGATAAAGCAGGAAACGTTTGGCAGCTCTGCTGCTTGAAGTGTTAACATGGTGTGGTGCTGTCAAGCCACCCCCCTTGAAATTATATTAAATGGTCTTAATTTAGGAGGAAACCTTGACATTTCTATAAGGCAGGGGTCCTTGATGTGCCTGCACAGTATTTGGCCTAGGAAAGGCCGTGTAGACCAGCTGAAAATGTGGTTGCCGGATTCAGGCTACCTGGGCTTAACTCCTGGCCAATGACTAATTGTGCCATCTTGGGCAAGTTATTTTGGTCCAAGATTTGATTGCCTTATATTTCTTAAGTATAATTCGAGGGATATATGAGCTAATACATGTGAAATAATCTGTGTAATATCTGCCATGTAGCACTCACGACGTGCTAGGATTTATTATATAAATTAATATAATGGAAGCTCAAGAGATATTTGTGATGGAGTTAGGCAGTCTCTGGGCAACAACCACCAGGGTTTCCACCATGCCCCTCTGCCTTAACCTTTCCAGAAAGATCCTGGCTGTCTAATGGTGGGGTTCCATTCCTGCCCCCCAAATGTCCCAGATCCTCTGTTCAGGGTGTTTGACAGTCAATCTAGAAGTTAGCTCCTAGAAATGGAGATGATATGATATGGAATAAGTTTCAGTTCTGAGAGCTAGAATTTCCTTTCAAGGATGAAAAAGGTCTTTGGGATTCTAGAGCCTAAGGAAAATTCTAGAAAAATGAAATTTCATCAAGATAAACATTTTCACTGACGATCTGTAGATACTCTGAGGCCTCAGAGTTGGCTGATTGCTGAGGAACATGATGGTCTCCCCAACCATATCCACAGAATGGGTGACTAAATGACCAGGATCCACGGGGCCCTGCAGCCCGAATGTGCTTTTCAGGCATAATCTCTGATCTCCGTCGTGGACCCGGATTCCTCTGGTATTATCTGGAATACGCCTGTTAGGTCCATTCTGCCCTTGTGGATTTATACTCCCTTTAATGGGCAAACATCCAGTTCAATCACAGATACTGAATGCCCAGACACCAGGCTAGCCGTAACAAAATTTTAATTTCATATTTATTTCTGCCAGCATTAAAAAGAAATCTCTAGCATGCTCTAATCTTTATCTTAATATGTAGAAAGTGGATGAGTATGCTCCAAGAAGACAAACTGATAGTAAAACTAGCCCAAATTGAACATTTACTTTGTATACAGAGGAGATCTATATATATAGATATGTATATCGATATATATATGTATGTGGGTGTATATCATATATATGCACACGTATATGAAAAATAATTGATTTTAGGACATTATAATCATGCTAATTTATAATACGATGATCTAATAATCATGTCACTAATAATAAAAATCGTGGTATTTACGTATTTATCCCCTATCCTTTTCAAGTATTCTATAAAGGGAATGACCCACATTCTCTCAGTTAATTCTTATAACATCCCTACAAGGTAGGCATTCGATCATTTTCATCTCTCTGAAGTTCAGAAAGTTGTGCGGCAGGCCGAAACTCACACAGCTTGGCTGGGATTTGATGTCAGCTTTGCAAGGTGCCAGGGCCCAGTGTCCACCAGTATTTTCTGCTCTCTTTGCAACCAGAAGTGTCTCCTCTGCTTTCCAATATGTGGATCTGGCCATACCATTTCTTCTTCTTTCTCTGGTCTTCCAAACCTGGAAATGACACTACCAAGATCCACATCTATTTTCAATATTCTATTCTATTTTCTATTTCACATTCTATTTTCAATTTCTATCTATTTTCTATTTCAAATAGATTTTGAGTGTTCTGGATTTGTAAGCACAGGCATACACAAAATCCAGTGACATCAGTGACATATTTGCACAAGCAAAATAAAGTAGGAAAGGGAGCAATCTTATGGCTAATTTAAGCCAAGAAACATTTATATTAGAAATATTTAGACATATTCCTCTATTCCCAGATTTAATTAAGCAATGTAGACCTAACCTGAGGATTGTTTAAAGTTGTTAAATGGTTTTCATGTTGTGTGTGTGTGTATTTATGTTTGAGTGTGTCTGTGTTTTCCTCTCAGGCTCAACCTTCTTGGTCCTTATGGTAGCACCTGCGTAGAGTATAATTTTTGTGTTATTCCTTTCCTCAACTGAACCAAGTCAATTCTCTATAAAGCCCTGCTATGTAACTACATAGACACCATTCCCAACCCCAAACATACACACCAGTTTCCCAATCGAGCACCTACAAGCCACATGTGGCTATTTAAATTTATACTTGAATGCATGCAAATGAAATGAAGTTTAAAATTCAGTTTCTTATTTATGCTAGCTCATTTCAAATGTCCAGTAGCCACATGTGGCTAGGGGCTTGCATATTTTAGCACAGATACAGAAATTTCCATCATCGCCAGAAGTTCTACTGGACGTCATCATTCTAGAAGCTAAGCAGTAGCTTGGCTGGAGCAAGTAGAAGCCTGTGTCATTATTTGGCAGATTTTAACCCCATTTCTCTCACATCCATTTTTTCTTCTCTGTTGGTTTTTGTAGGAAAGGAAGACGCTCAGAAGAAGAAGGAAGCTGGAGAGAGCAACAAAACAGTTGGTTAAGCAAGAAGAATTGAAAAGACTTCATAAAGCTCAGGTCAGAAAACAAACTTGACTTGGGTGACTGAGCCTGGGGTCAGGGACCTGGCAAATGGCTTGGAAAGCCCCTTGGAAGTCTCTGTTGTGCTGGGGGAGATAGGCTGTGGGAAATTTCAGCCTCTCTTCTCTGAATGACCAGATCCGTGGTCATCCTAAAGGCCCTGACTCAGTCCCTGGTGGGACCTTGGGGCCTGAGGAGCCCAGGTGTAGAGCTGGCCCACTCCCAATTGCCTTTCCATCTGCAAATGTGTGTCGTACAAAGTGAGCCTGGAATGACAGCCAACACAGGGCCGTGGGAACCATCCCAAGCCCTGACTGCCACATTGGCAGTGGACTTGGTCTCGTCCTCCATGAGGATACAACTTTCCCCTGACTTCCTGCCAGTGTCTCTGCTGAACTGACAGTTGTTAGGAGCTGTCTCTATTCCAGGGTTTGTCACAAACCCAGGCATCTAGCATTTCAATATATAGATTCCCCGTCTTGGTTGTTAGCACTAACATTTCTGCCCCAGTGGGTCTGCCCTCGTCTGTCACAGACAGGCAAAGGAAACAGAAAGTCAAAGCATTCCCCATGTCCCTGAGGACCCCAGACTTAGCCCTGACAAACAGCGAGGTTTTAGGACAGAAGGACTTAGAGTGACCACTCATATTCACTCAGTGTTCCTTTCTATTCCTTCCTGCAGTTGCCCCCTTTATCTGGCTATGTAGTTCCATTGAGGAAGGAAGCCTCTTAACCCAGCCTCCTTTACCCTTCACAGTGATTGACAAGGGAGCCACCCCTTTCACCCAACAGACAGGGAAAATCCCCAGAAAGTCCTTCTGTCCCCTCTCAACTTCTGAAACAGCTTTCCTTGAAACATTGTAACATGGCCTTGTGAGAGAATGAGCTGTCTTCATGCTGTGGCTTGGCAGACTGGCGCTCCCCCTCCTTACCTGCTCCCTCTGGACCGCAGGTGGTGATGAGAACCACCACAGCCTTTGGGAGCCTCATCTGCTAGTGCTCACAGCAGCCCCTTCTAGTCTTCAAGATTTTCATCCTGGGCTTCCAAAGAACGGCCGCTGTATTAGTCTGCTCAGCTGCCGTAACAACAGAGTGTAGAATATGTGGCTTAAACAACAGGAATTTATTTCTCATAGTTCTGGAGGCTGGAAACCCAAGATCAAAGTGCCTTCAGGACTGCACTCTGGTGAAGCCTCTCTTCCTGGCCTGTAGACACTGCCTTCTTTCTGGGCCCAGCTGCAGAGAGAGATGTCTCTCATGTCACTTCGTCTTCCCGTCAGATCTCCAGTCCTGTGGCATTGGGGGCCCACCCCGATGATCTCACGTAACCTTAATTACTTCCTTAAAGGCCCTGTCTCCAAATACAGTCACACTGGGGGGTTAGGGCTTCACTATATGAATGGGGGGGCACGAAACAATTCAGTCTGTAACCACCATACAGCCATAAATGCATGATGGTCGGTCATAAAGTCATTTAAGTGTTTCCCTTCCATGAGTGATTCTATGTCATGCCATCAAGAGATGGATTCATAACAACAGAATTGTCTTTAAAAGAGAGACAGAGGGCATGAAAGTACAATGGTGTTATCTAGAATTCCCATCGATTTCAGATTTTACATTAAACCCTGGGATGTGAACCCCCTTAGCTGGGAGGAGGAGAGCCAGGGGGCCCCTCAGGCCTGACCCCCGCTTACTTGTCTTCATGGGGTTGGAGGTACTTCAGTGACTGTCCTCTGAATCCAGGGGAGACCGAGAAGATGTGCAGTTAAGGAGCAGAGGGGGTGGGACAGCTGCCGTGAGGTGAAGGAGGGAGAGCGCATACTTTCTACCTGCCCAGACAGCTGCTGGCTCCTTCTGCGTCCCTGTTCGGCCAGGTGCGAAGTCTGTTCTGCCGTGAGATCCGCCTTCTGGCAGCATGCTGTTTGAAACTGGAGGAAACCGATGGGGCACAGAATGTACATGGGAAAGTCTTTCCCCTTATTTTCCTTCCTAACACCGACAAGAGAGAAATAGCCAGTAGGGAAACTGGGAGCATAAATGCAAACCCAAGTTTGACTGGTACCAACAGTGAGTCTACGGAGGGTGTGAGGTTGTCCCTCACTGGGTCTTGTGTTCATCATCTGCTACTAACAGCCGCTGCGCACTTGCACATTAAGACGCCCCTGGGTGTCAGTCCCATGGTACAGTGAAAGAAGAGGGACCATCTATAGCTGAGGACGGAAGCTGGACACGCCAAGCAAGGTATACCAAGCCCCGGGAGTTGGCCTGGGGTCTTCTGCTCCAGACCAGCTTCTCAGGAGGTATCTGCTGGCTCCTCTTGGCAGAATGGAATGCGACCATGCTCTGTGTTTACCCCCAGAACCGCGTCCTCTGAGTAGTTGCTGCCTGTCTGCATATGCTTTGACCATTGTCAGAGGCAAAGGCGCGGAAGAGTCTGGGAGCCATGAGAACCACCCACCTAGCTCAGCATCCTCTGCCTAAGGGCACATCTGTGTGGTTGACCTGGTCAAGGACGACCATTCTCATGTCTCCATGGGGGCAGATGGAGCTTTTAGACAGACTCCTTGCTTTATGTCGTCACACTATAGAAGGGAGACGTCAAGATCTTGTTATTTGGGGGGACACCTGGGTGGCTCAGTGGGTTAAAACCTCTGCCTTCGGCTCAGGTCATGATCCCAGGGTCCTGGGATCGAGCCCCACATCGGGTTCTTTGCTCACCAGAGAGCCTGCTTCCCCATCTCTCTTTCTGCCTGCCTCTCTGCCTACTTGGGATCTCTGTCTATCAAATAAATAAATAAAATCTTTAAAAAAAATCTTGTTATTTGGGAATTAAGAGGTCCTTACCCAAGGAGAGACATCATAAGAACAGGGCCTCTTCTTCTTAAAAAGTAAGTAGCAGCCTGAGGCCCCCCCCCACTGCCCTACCCCGCCACATGACTGCGCCTTCAGAGTCCCTGTGTGACACACAATCCTGGCTTTGCAGGCCATCCAGAGGCAGCTGGAGGAGGTGGAGGAGCGCCAGAGGGCTTCAGAGATCCAAGGCGTGAGGCTGGAGAAGGCGCTGAGAGGGGAAGCAGGTAGGCAGCCCTGGAGAGGTGGTTGTGGGCCCACGTCCATGGTCTGAGAATAGTGCCGGTCTAGCCATGCTGTCACCCCATGGAACCATTAACGTGGACATGCATCGCTGGGTTTCCAATATCAAACTGATGGTCCCACTGGAAATTCCTAGGGTCCTGGCCAACCTGTGGGCCTTGTACCTGGGTTTCCAGCCTGCCCGTCACATCTCTGTGTGAATGTTCTTTGCAATCCAGGGGTGATGAGAAATTCAGAAGAACCACTGGGGTATTCAGACAACATTGGTAGTGAATCAGAACCCAGACTTGGACTCAAAGTCCTCATTTCTTCCTTTTCTAGCCATGTCCATTGGGCTGGTTGCATTCTAAACCTTTACAAACTTTCATTTTCTCCTCTAAAATGGGGATATTTGTGGTTTCCTTTAGAACTGATATAAGGATTAAAGAAGATGTTAGATATTATATATCTATATCTATATCTATATACATATATAATAAAGAAAATGAATTAGTATCTTGTCTGGTACAAGAAATGGTAAGTGTTCCACCAATAGCTTCAGAATCTTGGATCCAAAGAGAATTCCTCTGGTGAAGACCTACCATGTGGGAGACATGAAGACAATGGGTCTATAACGACGAGCACAGCCCAGTTTCTGCCTTTGAGAGGTCCATGGTCCATTGAAGGATGCGGACATGTAAATAAACAGACTGCACCACAGAAGGACAGGGGTAGGGATAGGAACAGCATTCGGGGAGGGGGACATGGGAACATAGTCACGAGTTTCCTCACTGACCTTGGGGAGAAGGGTGCTCAGGCTAAGCACATGGAAGGGGGGGATCCATGGTGAAGGAAACCACAGGAAGGATAGGAATTCGCCTCTTCACTAGGAGGTGAGGAGATTGTTCTGGAAGAGGGAATGGCACCGGCAAAGGCCAGATGGGAAAAGATGTGAAGTGCCTCCGTGAACAAGGAGCCAGCCAAGGATTCTGAGGTGAGGGATGGCTTAAAGAGGCCTACGTTTTGGGAAGCCACCCCAGCACTAGTTCACGGCTAGTGAATTGGAGGGACCCTTACAGTTAGTGGGGGTGGAGTGTCATCGTCTCTTTAGTTTTCAAACGTGATGTCTTTAGCCTTCTGCATTTTGGATATCACGTGTGAAAAACCAGACCCTGAAAACATCTCCGCATGCAGTTGCGTAAGCAACATGGTACTTGTTCAACAACGTAGCAGAAGGTTGGGATTTCAGTTCTCTTAAAAGTTCAGTTCTTTGCGAGTGATGGCAGCAACAGTGGCAGACCTAGATTTCGTGAGGCCTGAAATTTGTACAAAGTCCCATGGGCAAAATTGGGAGGGCTGCTCCCAGAGCCTTGCAAGGTCTCAGCCAAGTGAGGGGCCCCGCGGTGTGGGCTTCTGTAGCTGCGTGGTTTGCTTGTTTCTGCGTGGCAGGGACATGCTGGGATCTGACTTTCTCCTTCTGAGCCTCGGTTCTGGTTTGTAAGGTGGGAGTGATCAGCATACCTGTGTCTTTGATTTGTGTGGTAAGGATTGGCTAAAATGGTTTATGTGGAAGTCCTAGCATAGCCCCTGGCATAGGATAGATGATTAGTATTTGTTTCTTTTTTTAAGATTCTATTTATTTATTTATTTATTTATCTGAGAGAGAGAATGAGAGCACGAGTGAGGGAGGAACAGAGGGAGAGGCAGACTCCCCACTGAGCGGGGAACCCAATGTGCGACTCGATCCCAGGACCCTGACATCATGACCCGAGCTGAAGGCAGAGGCTTAGCCACCCAGGCGCCTCTGTTCCTTTTCTTACTAAAATACACTGTGCCTTTCCTGGCAAAGGTAACCCATATCCACCTATCAGGAGTAGACTTCATGACCAAAATAATAACTGTTTCTTGCCTGGAGTGAAGGTCCCTGCCTACGTCTACAGCTGTTGCTGGGACATTCAGTACCAGTAACTGCCCTTGTTGGCAGCATGGCCAGATTCCCCATCAAGAAGGCTCTGCTCTGGTGTCTGGGAATCCACAGGGTTCAGTGAGAGCCTCAGACATGGAAAGAATAAGCCAGCAAAGCTGGGGCATATTTCAGTTTGCTGGGGAGAGGCGGCCAAGAGCCCTGTGTGCAAATTCTGCCCCATTGCATTTAGGCTGCGTGACCCTGGGAGAATTGCTTCGCCTCTCGGGCTGCAGATTCCATACGTGAGAAATGGAGCTAATAACCCTCACATTACGGGGTCATTTTGAGAATTAAGGGCATTGGTGGGCAGAATGCCTCCCAAGAGTGTCTTCCACATTGCAGACATTCAACAAATGTCACCCGATACCCATTTTTTTATGAAGTACTCTTAAATATCTGCACACACATGCACTGTGATTTGACTCGCTAATCTTTACTGCTTAAAATTTAAATTCTAGACACCAGATTTTTCAAGCTTCTGAAAATCTCCCTCTTCCCCAAGTGTACAGAAAGGATATTTTGAATTATCAGCTGAAGAAAGCCAGCTTCTGTTTTCAAAGGTGTGTCGATCCAGCCAGAAGATGGATTCCCTTCATTCCCTTTACATCCTTAGTAATTTAATTCCCCTGTTCAGCTTATGGGCCTTTTCCTCCCTTGATTGTCCTTGTGTGGGTGATAGAGGCAGATCAACGCGGGGCTGGAGCCTGGAAGAGTCGAGTCAAGGAGAGCTGGCCCTAAGGAAACCAAACGGAAGATGTGCAAACCAGGCATCGAAATTAATACACTCCAACTTGTAATAACATTTGTGCAATAATAATATTCCTTTGCAGTTTAATATTCTATTCAGCCCCTTTAAAAGATTGCCCTGGTGCTTAATGAATGACCAATGCTTATTAGGTTAAGTTGTATTTGAGCTGGCCTGTGCTGCTCTGGTTCAAGTGATTTAATGGGAATTATTTAATAGGTATTATTAGGATAATTAGAAAATGATCACAGTTAGGCAATAATATTGAGCTATAAAGGTTGTGAATAACCAAATTTAGAGACAGGCCTGAAAACATGAGTAGTCTGTGACAGTTATGCAAGGCTCCTCTAATAATTACGTGCGCCAGCCTGAAAGGCTCTTTTGTTCCTAGGAGTTATTCATTAGGCGGGCATTGAATTAGAGGAACATGCGGGGGTGCGGGATGGAGGGCAATGATGGCTGATGAGCAGAATGAAGCTTTGATGAGCTCCTAATTGTCGTGACAACAATTCCTTCTTTCTTTCTTCCCAATAGTCAGAAATAAACTCCCCCACCCCCGGGAAGGGTTGTTCCCCATTTTATCATGGAAAGGGAAACAAAGAAAAACAAAAATCCAACCACCCAACCTGAATGATAAGTCATGATGTCCTGTGGGGTGGGTGTTGGGAGGCAGGGAGAAGTGTCATGGATGGATGATGTCCTTGGAAAAGGGAATGGATTCCCTCGGTGCTCCTAGCTGCCCAGAGTGATGGTCCAGGATGTGCAGGAGCACGATTGCCCCAGGCCCCACCCTCTAGGAGGAAAACAAGCCACGCTTTGCCAGCCTCTTAGACCCCTCTTGGTCAAGGCGCTGTTACCCACTGCTTTGTTATCGATATCGATGTGGTGGCCAGTGTTAAGTGCTAGGGCCATGGAATTCCCCAGTTTTGCAGGAGACCACCATCCACATTTAGATGGTGTGGATCACAGAATCTGCGATTTCTTTCAATACATGGAAGCAGGTGAAATCTCTTGGAAACTGAGAGCAGTTTAGAAGGAGAAAAGATTTGTCCCTAAGGGAGGTATATGGGAATTACTTCTCCCTTATAGCTCTACCAACTTTGGGGGAAGGTTTACCAGCTGGTTGTCTGCATTGAGCTTGTTGTTTGTTTGGAAGGTTTGCTAAGAGCCAGATGGCTTCTTCGCAAAAATGGAGTTTATAAAGAAATAGCAGAATGTATGAGGCTGCCGGTAGGTGGCAGCAGGAGCACATGTTATGCTGAGAGAAACTGCAATGCTAAATTAGCCAGGAAGAGGGAAGTAGTTTGGCTTACACTCTGTGGTTTCCATCTTGCTGGCTGCTGAGGAGCAGAAATGATACTTTCCTTGGTAATGTAGCAATGAGGTGTCCTGAAAAGAACACAGGTACTGGAATCAGGCACTTGTGAGTTTGAGTCCCAACGCCATTCATAGAAAATGGCCAGGAGTAAAAAGATTCCAGAAATGATGGCTAAGCAAGCCAGGAATTTAGATGGGTTTGCTGAAACGCTGAAAGTGAACAGTGAAATTCAGTGCATTAGAGCATGGGAGTGTTTTACTTCCTGCCCAGCAAGCAGAGGGAACGCAGCATGGTACAAGTTGTCCTCTACTTGAGTATGGCCATGTGACCTGGTGGGCCCAGATGGCAGCTGTGCACACAGTGGATGGTGCCACAGCTCAGGAGCTCAGGCAAGGGCACTCAGCAGCCTTTATAGCAAGCACTGAACAAGCCAGCCCCTTCCCAGGAACCAGGTAGCTGTACACTAGTCACCCTGTGGGATCCTGACCTCCTTCTCAGAATTATCTCCTTGGCTGGTTGCAGGAGTGGCTCAGGCCTGGAGGATGGTAGGGACTTGCCATTTGGCACACTCAGCAGAGACGTGCAGAGAGGCTCAGGGTCTACTGCAGATTGCTTTACTCAACAGATAGGAATTATCCTTTGACTGTGTGTTCCCCTTAGATTCAGCCTCCATGGCCACCTTGTAGAAAGTCAGGGGCCTCACAACAAAGAAGGGCCCTGTGAGGGTGACCCCGAGATTCCCCTCCTGAGGAAGAAGCCTCGAGTCCTCTCCACTGTGTGGATTCCAGGCATATTAAGGTTATCTGCCCTAGAGTATTTCTTTACACAAAAAAAACCACCATGACAACAGCAAGACATGCATTTTGTATCACCAGTTAGTACATATAAATATATAATTGAATACAATTCATCAAGAAATAATATTGAATTTTGCTACATGTAAATGACTAGTGCTTTCCATTCTGTCTTATTTTTA